CCCCAATCACTTTTCTAAGTACTCTGTGAAGTCCTTGTCACAACCATCCATTGACTCCTGAGAATTATTATCCCCGCTGTACAAATAACAAACTAAGGCGCAAAGGGGTTAAATGACTTATTCAAGATAAGAGAGCTAGAAAGTGGCAGACCTGGGTCTCAAACCCAGGCTACCTGGCTGCAGAATCTGTACACTTGACCACTCCACAGCGCCCCTCAGCAAACGCCTCACTGCAGTGTTTCTCACAAGAACCACCTGAAGCTTCAGTGAAAAGCGCAGTCGCCCAGGCACCGCCCCCGGGAAGAACATCTGGGTGGGACTGAGCAGGGGCCTGGGAATCGGAACCAATCTCTGAGGTCCTGGGTCTGTTCAGATGCTCTCCATTGTTCTTATTCAACTGCAAAGGGCTGGACTGTGAGACACTGGTTATCTCTTAGGACAAGCACGACAGGGCAGGGCAGGGCAGGCCCAGGGTGGGTTCTGCAGCTCACAGGTGGGGGTTCTTCGCACCTTCTTGCTGTCCTTACAGTGGGCTTTGTCGTTTGGCTGTGCCCTCCATGCCCCTCAGGGCCAGAAGATGGCTGCTTCTACTGTATGCCCCAAGGCCTCACTCAGCCATGTCCGCAGGTGGGGAAAGGGACAGCTTCTCTCCGTCAAGGAGGAAATGCTTCCCCCAAAACTCGAGATCCCACTGACGAAGGCGGGACACGTGCCCAGCTCCAGTGTGGCGGGGCAGCTGGACCGAGAAGGGTCAAGGAGGAGGGCTTAGCAGCGGAACCCAGTCGCCAGGGCCCCTCCGCAGAGCCACCCCCTGCCACTGCCTCGTCAGGCTGGACTAGAGCAGGAGTTCTCAAAGCTGGTGCGCAAAAGAATTACCTAGCAAGCTCGTTAGAAATAGTTATAAAGACTTCACCACGATCGCTGCCTCAGACTCTCTGGTACGTGATCAAGTTTGAACACTGCTGGACCAGGAGAAAGGGAAGAAAGGATGGAAATCCATCAGTGTCTGGCACACAGTAGGTGCTCAGCAGATCTGACTGAATAAGTGAACGAGCACTGGGAGTGGGAAGGAGGGGTGGGGGCAGGGGCACGGAAAGGAAACCCCGTTCCATTTGTGGTTTCAGTTTGGCAGGTGTTTTTTTTCCTGTTTGGTGAATTCCCAGTTAGAGTGCTTGGTCAGTTGTCTTTTACTGAGGACTGTGCCTGTGACACACCTTTACTTGGGCTATAGTTTAAGTGAAAGAGGATATTTTTATTTAGACGGAGACAGGAAATAACTGAGGACTCAGGGCAGGGACGCAGCTGGATCTCACAGAGGCTGACACCCAAAGCTAGAAATGCATCCGGGCCCCCTGCATGCTCACAGCTCACAGCGTGAGGACCACGACCCCTGCCCGGGAGCTTGTTAGAGACCCAGCCTCGGTCCCACCAGAGCTACGGAATCAGAATCCACATTTTAAAGCGATTCCAAGATGGTCTGTGTGCATGTTACAGTCGGAGAAACTGTGTCCACGGGACAGCGCCCAAGCTTTAGGCCTTCTTTTTTCAGAAGGGAAGTCCACACCGAAACGTGGTAGCTTGGTCCTAATGTCAGGGTAAGCGGATCTCATTGGCCCGGCTCCTGTCAGGTGTCTGCTGGACCAGGGCGGTGTAAGTAAGCGCCAAGGTCACCGCTAACATCCCCATTTGACTGGCAAAAAGAACTGGAGAGCAGAGAAATGATTTGGTCAAGACCCCGTAGCTAGGGAGCGGTGGAGACGGAAGTTGGTCCCAGGTCAATTTGTTTGTTCTCTCTGTCTGTCTCCCCCCCCCCCAACCTGGGAATGGGTGGCTACTCCAACATCAAAGGGCACACTCAGAGCAGCCCCTCGGTGATCAAGGCCTCCTGGAGGCTTTGGGGGGGGGGGGGATCTGCCGGTCCCGCTGTTCACAGTGGCTTCTGGAAAGAAGCAGCGTGTGAGGGAGGCGTGGGAGCGATGAGCCTGGCAAAACCAGCCAGGAGGCTGCAGCCCGCCTGGGTAACTGGGTGCTGGGTGCCCCACGCCCCTTTGTCGGCTGTTGAATTCCAGACACCTGCAACAGAACACTGTTAATAATTATGTGCTTCCACGTTCTCTGCTGCAACGTCGCCTTCTCACTGAGGCCTTCCTGGATCGCCTTCCTTAAAATTGCGTGCCCCCCGGAAAATTAGTTTTCTCCGTATCATTTCGCTATATATTTATATTAGCTATATATTGGGTTGTCGGAAAAGTCATGACGTAGATTTTCTATGTTTTTCGTTGCAAAGCTGCATCATGACTTTTCCAACAACCCAATAGTATATATTTAAATGGTTGCCTGCACACTCCCAACCAGAGCTCCGTGAAGGCAGGGATTTTTGCCTGTTTGGCTCACTGATGTGTTTCTAGTGCCTGGCACACAGGAGGTGCTTAATAAATATTTGCTGAGTAAATCCATGAATAATGACAACGGTAATAACGCTTTGACATAGCAGATCTCTAGGAGATAGGAGTGGAACTTGCCCCCATTCTCCAGGTGAGGAAACTGAGGCTTAAGGAGATAAGACTTAAGAGCCCAAACTCTTGAACAAACGCTTTGCAGTCTAGGAGCTATCTACTTTGGGGTGACTCACACCTTATGTGTGGTTAGCCCATCCCCCAAATGATCCCTGCAATGGGGTGCCTGGCTCCCTTTGCTTTCTGCTGCCTCCCGCAGACACCAAAAGCACGGGACAAAGGCAAAGGTGGGCGAACGGGATTGCATCCAAAGTCTGTGCGTCAAAGGAAACAATGAACAGAATGAAAAGGCAGCCTGCAGAATGGGAGACGACATTTGCAAACTGCATACCTGAGAAGGGGTTAATATCCAGAATACACCGCCTATGTTTCCGGGGTGCTGTGACTTGCCACCAAAGGGACGCTAAGACCCATGGTGGAGGGGCAGGTAGGCAGACAGGAGACGAAGCCCAACCAATCTCTCAGGAGGTCAAGAAGGCTCAGACACAGGAGGATGCCTGGCTCAGCATTTACCTTCCAGGAGGCTTGTGAGGACTGTTGGAGCTGGGCTGCGGGGAGGACCTGGCCACACCCACAACCCCTCCCCACCCTGTGCCTTCCAGCCTTCTTTTTGTTCACAAAGTTGTAGAGCAGAAAGTCATGATAGCATGACCAGCCATCCTAGTTCAGCACTGAAAGTCCTATGTCCTGGGTAACCCTCTGTCCCAGGCAAACAGGGACCGCTGGTCACCCTTGATCACTCCCATTGAGATTTTGGTACCAGTTCTGCTCAACTGTAGTGGCTAACATTTAAGACTCGACCATAACTTCTGATTCTCTCCTTAAACTCTGCAGCAACCTTGTGAAGTGGGCACGGTGATTATCTCCGCTAATAGGCGAGGCAGCTGAAGCTCAAAGAAGTTACGTAACTGACTAAGGTCTCACCCACAGTCAGTGGCTGAAATGGAGGTGCACCTAGAATGAGATTGCTGCCAACCGACAGGCAGTCACACCAAAAAATATCTGTGCATGCCCGTGAACAAACTTGATCATTGCCCATCACATTGTTGTCCCTTTGGCAGAGCTGTGTGCAGCATTTGGAACTACATGGGTTGATTTTAATTGCTGTTTAGAATGTCTTCCAAGATATCACACGGTGATTCAGGTTGAAGATGAAAAGTAACCGTATACCCAGAAGTACCTGGAAACAGTGTCAGGAAGTCAAATGCCCAAAGACCTTTAAAAGAACTTATTCAAGAAATAGAGAATTTCTGAGGAATATCAATATATATAAAATAAGGAATATGAAAGCATTGCATTATGATGTGTTTAATTGGCAGCTTTTTTTTTAAATTTGTCGTACGTGAAATAATGGTGCATCCTACAATCTATAACATCTTAGATTCAAAGAAGGAGGAAGATGTTTGTTTTTAGAGAAACTCTAGCACCTCACACCTGTGGCATGGATACATATTACTGCTACAGGCATAGCCAAAAATAGGTAGTGATGTCAGGTCTGTGTTGATTTAAATAAGTATATTCTGTAAATATAATGGAAAAATATCCAAGGTGGTGCCTTCGTGACAAATTTGGGAAACAGAATAGGGCTTTCAGAGTCATCATTCGGGCCTCTTGGCCTGACAGCTTTGCCCAGAAAATGAGCCCCTGTTGGTCATATTTACTCTTCATTTGAAGCCAACACTCCGTGTGATGAACTACATGTAATAAAGGAAGAAAATATTTCCAAACCGCAAACCATCAACTTCGTTAACAAAGTAGTCACAAAATTTTTTGAAAGAAAAAAAAAGAAAGAAATTTAAGCCTACCTATTTTATCTTTTATAAAGATAAACATGTTCAGTCTCTTTTTTTCTTCTTTTTTTCCTCAAAACCTCAGTGAGGACACAGGATTTTTTTTTTAGGAGTACTTGTGTTAAAGAGCACTGGTGTTCTTAGAGAGTGCTTGTAGTTTTGCCCAGAATTCCCTCAATCAGTTCCTTTCCAGTTGTTTGTTAGGATTTTGTGGTCAAGCTTATGAAACTACTGATCCATGTGGCTGAAGAAACAGAAAACCTACCTGGCATAAATGATAGGGACATTTCTTGTTTATTTAATAAGTCCAGACTTGGATGGTTTCAGAGCTGTGGCCCAGCATCTGATTTTCTCTCCCCTATGGTTACAGAATGGCTGCCACCGTTCCAGGCATCACGTCCTCACTCCAGCATATCCAAAGACAGGAAGTGGGCCAACCAGGGCAGCAAGGATGAGCTTTCCTCAACTGCCTCTCTTTCTGCCTTAAACTAGAGAGACAATCTTTTACAGAAGCCCCACAGCAGGTGTTCTCCAGTGCCTCAGTGGCTGGAACAAGGTCACATGATCACCCCTAAGCTGCCAGGGAGACCAGGAAAGCAAGCTAACATGTTCATTCTTTACAAAGAAAGGTAGGCACAGGGAATAGCTGTTGGGTGTTCATATTATGAGAATTAATAATCATTTTATCTTTTAGTTTCAGCTCCAGAATTTGTTTTTGAACATGGCTATCAAACGTATCTACCCACGGAAAGCAATGAAAACCAGACAGCCACTGTCATCTCTCTCCCTGCCAAGTCACGTGCCAAAAAGCCCACAGCCCCACCTGCTCAGAAAAGGCTTAACTGTTGCTATCCAGGTAAAGGCAGCATTGTGTCTTTCTCGTGTCAAGGATGTGACGTTTAACGGGTTCCGGGGCTCGAACTCGTGAGTTCTGAACAACTAGGCGTAGATGTGCTCCAAACTGCCTGGCTTAAAAGTCAGAGCCCCACAGTATTTGCATCATCACATACAGCCTCTCTCTCCCTGTCCCTGGTCACCATACACGGTCTCTAAGACTTTTATAGCCATGAGACTGAAACAGGATGCATGAGAATTTCATGTTACTGTGATTTTTTTCCTGTCTGTGCTATAGCTTAGGAAAGATTTTCCTTTCTTTTTTTTAAAAAAAAGACAAAACTTTTAATTTGGAAATAATTTCAGAATTACAGAAAAGTTGTAAAAATAGTATAAAAACTTTCTGTATACGCTTTATCTAGATTTCCCAAATGTTAACATATTACATTTGTAAAATATAGATATATTATAGATAGATAGATACAGATATAGATTTATATTACATTTGCTTTGTCGTTCTTTCTATGTATACATATATTTCCTCCCAAACCATTTTAGAGTCAGTAGCAGACATGATGTCCCTTTATCCCTAAGTACTTCAATGTGTATTTCCTAGAAAATACAAGGAAATTCTTTTACAGAACCACAGTACAATCATCAAAGCCAGGTAATTAACATTTATACACACTATTATCACATTACCAACCTTATTAAGATTTTACCAGTTGTCTCACTAATGCCCTCTATATCAGAAGAAAAACATTTTTCCCCTGGTCCAGGTTCCAATTCACGATCACGCTTTGCATTTCATTTTCGTGAGTCTTGAATTTCCTTTAACTTTTGTCTTCCGTGACCTTGACATTTTTGCCAAGCCCAGGCCAGTTATTTTGTAAGAGGTTCCCTCCTGTGGGGTTTGTCTGATGTTCCTTCATGATTAGATTTAGGTTTTGCAGTTCGGGCAGGAAGCACGGATGTGATGTTATGACCTCCCTGGTCAGATCAGGAGGCACGTGATATCTGTTTGTCCTGTTACTGTGGAATTAACTGTCATCATTTAGTCATGGGAGTTTCGGCCAGCCTTCTCCACTCTAAAGTTACTCTGTTTCCCTTTGTAATTCATCTTTCCTTGCCTTTTTAAGGTTGCCAATTCAAGACTGCCTATGGCATGAAGGACATGGAACGTCATTTAAAAATTCACACAGGTAAGCATCATTTTTTTTGGCCCATGTGCGCTGAACACACGCAGTGCTAGAAACGGGGGATCCACACAAGTCAGAGACATGATGTGACATAGAACCTCCCCGGAATACAAATAGAAATTAAATAAAAATAAGATGCTGTTTCTACATCCGATTTTGGCAGAGAATGTTTAAAGCAATAAAACCCAGGGCTGGAACAAGTATGAGTAAACTTAGCTAGTGGAACTGTGAATTGCTACAGCCACGCTGAAGTTAATCTGCCAGAATTAACTAAAATTCAAATGCACCTATTCGCATTTTAAGGAGAGGATTCTTTAAATGTGTCTGTGCGTGTGCATGTGCGTGTGTTTGTGTGTGTGTGTGTGAGAGAGAGAGAGAGGTGGTTGTAAAGAGAGGAATGGAGGGAAGAATAGTAACTTTTATGTATCTTTACATTTTATCATTGGATACAGTAAGTGTGTGTTATTTTTGCAATTTTGAAGGGGTAATTTACAATAATAAATACTTCCTTTTTTAAAAGGAGAGAAAAAGATCGATGCATGGAAAAGGAAAATCATGATTATTTCTAGTGATTTTAATTTTCTTTAAGGTATATTTTTTTATGGCTCCCAGATTTTCTGCATGGGCAGGAAATTGCTTTTAGGCTATTTTTTTTTTTTAAAGATTTTTATTGGGAAATTGGGGGGATGGGAACAGTGCTGGGGAATTGGGGAAAGGGGAACAGACAAGTTGCTGTCGTTTTGTTCTTCAGTCTAGTTGTGGAGGACGTTGCTTCACTGGCCCAAGTTGGCACCATCATTGCGCTCTTCTCTGGCGAGGCAGATCAGTCGCCGGCTTCTGGACGGCCGCTCACTGCGGCTGCTGGCCGCTCACGCTGGCTGCTGGCCACACACGGTAGCCCATGGCAATCCACTGCCACAGGGACTGCAGCCCACGCCGTCGCCGGCGACTCATGGCAGCCCAGCTCCAGGTTGAGCTGTTGTTCAGCATCTTAGCTGTGGAGGGCAGTGTCACTGTAGGCTATTTTTAACAGAGTATTAGATGCTCTTAATTCAATGATACGGACATGTATCAATTTAAAGAGTATAAGTTTGTGTAAAGTAGGGACACACTGAAATTTGGCTTGGGTGTCACTCATTGCCCAAAGTCTACACTTTAGCCTCAGCCTTTGGAAGATGAAATATCCAGCAGCTGTTTCTGCTATTCCTTGGCCATGGCCGTTGTTGCTTTGTTGCCCTTAGATCACCATCCCCTCTCATCAACCTCAAAATGTCATGTCACTTGGGTTTATTCTAACTATCAGAATGTTAAGTTATTAAGTTTCTAGTACTGGTAAGCAGCGACTCTCTCCACATGGGTTTCATATGCTGGAGTGCCGTCAGTCAAGCGTAGGATAGTCTTCAGGGCAAGAGTAAAGGGCTGTAATTATTAATGAGGACGGGGGAGGCATCATAAAATATAAGTGAGCGCAACGACCTCCAGTCTATTTCCGCACATCTTCTCCATACGGTTAGCCGAGCTTGGGTTTGTAGGATGGTTTCTACAGAACTGCAGTGTCTCCATCAACATCTTCCAAGTCGGAGAGTTGACAAAAAGGTGTCCTTACCTTAGTTACTTTCAGAGACGAGGTCGCGGCCAGGAACAAGAGTAGCAGGGCTCTTTACCCGCAGAGCTAGCTAGCCAGCACGTGCCCAGTGTTGCAAATACTCGTACACAGGATGGCGACCCCAGGAGCTACCTAGCAGCTGACAATAATGAGAAATTATTGTTCCTGGATTTTTAAATTTGACTACTAACATTTTTAATAATGAAATTATAATCCTTAATATACTTTCAGACATTCTTAAATGCCAGATGGTGATTCTATGATGACAGCGATCAGCTTTGGCTGACAATTGGTCTGAGCACTTGGCTGCTATTTAGGATTTGGCCAAAATACATATTGGACATATACAGTAAAAGGTGAAAATACTGACTCACATCCACCTCCTTCTTATCCCATGCCCAGAAGTTACCGGTCTTAATAGTCTAGTGTGACTCATTCGTAGATTTTGGCATGCCTGTACCAAGCGTAAAAACACACACAATTTACTTTTTGTATCTCTTATTAATATTGTATCACTGCAACTTGCTGTGTTTCATTTACTATTGGACATCTTCCCATGTTAATAAGTTCATATCTACTTCATCTCGATGGACAAGTGAGGAACTGGTTCAATAATTTACAGTACATCCATAGAGTGGAATAAGTCAGCCTTAAAAGTCATATTGTGGGTACTAATGAGGTGAAAAGGTGATCAAAATTATTTTAAGTGCAAGAAAGCAGTCACTGGGGAGGCAGTGTTGCATTTGGCTGAGAGAATGAGACAGTCCTGGGTTCTAATCCCAGTTGTTTCAAGAAATAAAATCATTCACAGGCACAGTGTTTAAATTGATGTCGGCCAAGAAGTTTTTTGTACCAAAAAAGCACACCTTATACATAGGCACACACAAAAAAAAAATTGGAAAAATATACATTAAAAAATTAGCAGTTATTCAGGGCTGACAGGTTGACACGTGTATCATGAGCACAGATTTAGCTGCTAGAGCAAAGAAACCCAGAGACCCGCTCAGACAAGGTAGGGCTTTATGTCTCCCTCATAACTGACCACAGGTAAGTACCCGACCTAGGGCAGGTAGGTGGTTCTGTCCTATGAGATCACAAGTTCCTTCTCTGGCATTAGGGTCCATTCTATTCCATTATCCACCCTCTGCAGGTGGGCTGCCCTCACCTGCCCACACCTGCCAGTTCACCCTCATGTCTGGTTACAGCTGGCAACAAGGAGGGGAAAGTGAAAAAGTTATAAAGCAAGCAATTTCCTTTTGCGAAAGGGACACAGTTACCATCTCTGCCATTCCATTGATGACTTTGTTGTTGAATCCCAGATCACTGCGAGTGAGGCTAAAAAATGTAATCGTTCAGGCCGGCCGAGTGGCTCAGTTGGTTAAGAGCTCGCTCAAGAGTTTGAGCTCTGAGCAACAGCGGTTCGATTCCCAGCCTGAGCTGTGCTGCCACTGAGCTGCCAACAGGTGGCAGGATGGCTCAGCTAAAAAAAAACAACCATATAAAATAAAAAAATGTAACCTTTTGCTGGTCAGCCATAAGCTCCTAAAACATAGGGGTTGCAGGTTTTAGGGTATGTCTGTTGTGAAGAGGAAAAGAGAGAAAATGGGTAAAAGAGACAAAGCAGTTTCTTATTTTACTGAGCTGCACTTTAACATTTTATTTCAGTTGCCTTTAGTTTTAATGAGGGACTCAGATTCAATGTAGGAAAAATTAGAAAACACCAATAATAGCATAATAATAAAAGAAAATAGAAGAAACACCACCACCACCCCAAAGATGTTAGCTCTTTGCCAATCACCCATCCAGCTTTTGGGAGTTTTCTAAAGCTTCTTTGGTGACTGTGTGTTACTCTTCCCAAAGCAGCGGGAAATGAGCCTTTTTATATTTTTATTTATTTTTTATATTTTTATATTTAATTTTTATATTTCCTGATGTCCTCTGTGTGTGTGTTTGAAGGAGACAAACCCCATAAGTGTGAGGTCTGTGGCAAGTGCTTCAGCCGGAAGGACAAGCTGAAGACCCACATGCGGTGCCACACGGGCGTGAAGCCGTACAAGTGTAAGACGTGTGACTACGCTGCTGCCGACAGCAGCAGCCTCAACAAGCACCTGAGGATACACTCCGACGAGCGACCCTTCAAGTGCCAGATCTGCCCCTACGCCAGCCGCAACTCCAGCCAGCTCACCGTCCACCTGCGATCCCACACAGGTAAGTCCCTCGCAGTGTTCTCGCTCTGTGCTCCTCACTTCCCCCCTGCTTCAGCCATCAGCATCTTAAAGCATATAGTCACGACGGAAGTCCATGGACTGGGGACATTTGGTCACCTGTCCTGTGCGGTTTTGCTGTGCATCTGCCCGGAAGTACCTGTCTCAGTAAAATAAGGGGAAACATCAAGTTTATAACAATATATATATATATATATGTATCTTTATGTAACTTTATAACTTACTCACTAGTATTTAATGGAGGAGGTACACTAAATGAAATAGAGTTATAAGGAATGCATTTTTAATGAATTTCTGCATAATGGCTGGTTAGGCATTTCACTTAAATGTTTAAGTATATTCTGATTAGTTCAGCATGGGACAGCTTGATGGAAAAACTCAGTCGAGTAGGTAACAAATTATGTATGTTTTCCTTTGGGCAAGTGTATCCATTAGCTAGTGATACAATGATGCTGTGTAACAACCACCACAAAAGCTCAGTGGTATATTATCATAAGCATTTATTGCTCCCAAACTTCAGGTCAGCAGGGGGTTGGCTAGACAACTCAGTTGATCTTGACTGGGCTTAATTGTGCGGAGAAGGCTGGGTGTCCACTGACCTTGGCTGAGTGACCACTGACCTTGCCTGGGGATCTGGCTGTAGGTTAGCTGGCTATCTTGGGCTGAGACGGACTGGCTCTGCTCTACATACTCGTATCTCGCATCCTCCTTCTGTCACCATTGGGCTACCCCAGGCCTATCCTTCTCGTGACAGTGGCAGACGTACACGCACGCACGCCCCACTGCGTAAGTCCATTTCAAACCTCTGCTTGCAGCCCGTTGGCTAAAGCAAGTTATAGTTTGGGCCTGGTGTCGACGGATGGGGCTGAGCTTATTACCCACAGTGGGAGGTCACCACAAAGTTACATGGCAAGGGACAGAGATATGAGGAGGGATAAAGAATTGGGGCCACTTTTGCAAGCAACAGTCTACCCCACCATTCGCATCTCTCTGACATGCAAATGCATTCACTGTCTCCTAAGAGCCCCACAAGTCACATCCAGTCATGGGATAGGGCTTCAAGACCAGGATCTTATGGTCTCCATCAGGGCTTGGGTATGGTTCCTATTGACCTACAACCTTTGAAGTGAGCAGACAAGTTGTCTGTGCCCACACTCCCAATGTACAGTGTGGTGAAACAGAGTCAGGAGAATTACAGCAATCCTGCTGTTCTAAACAGGGGCACTTGGCAGTCACTGGTCCACAGATTTCTGAAATCCCTCTGGACAAATATTCCCAGGTCGCCGCCCCCGCGGATGGGGAATGGTTTTTGATGGGCCGTGGCTCAGCCCCTTGGTATTTTACTCTGTCTACTGGTGCCTCCTTTCCATCACCTTCCTTACCCACTTCTGAAAAGGAGCTGAAAATGTACCTTGGAGAAACTTTTTTTTAGCATGGCTTCTTGTCTACTGAACGTTGAGGACTGTTTTTTCGTTTTGTGTTAGTCTAGGTTGGTGACAGCTTTGCTGGTATTTTCCTGTGTATCAGTGTGCCAACAGCCACATCCACAATTTTCTGGAGACTTCCCTTTCCTCTCCAGCCAATTATAAGCACTTTGGGCATATAACCTTCTGTGGGTTGAATCCCTCAAGACTTCTAGGAATCCTTGTGCAACCAAGAGAACTTACTTGGCACCAGTTTCATTCTTTTGGAGATTTTAACAAAAGTCTTGCATTCACACCTGTCATTTCTCGTTCAGCCTTCCCCCTGAGACCCCTGGACCGTTGTCCCTGGGCTTCTGTCTGACTTTGCAAACCTGTAGCTGGTTGGAAATGAGAAACTTTCACCCAGCACATCTTTGATTTTTCTCTATTCTCTCTAAATTCCATTTAGAAAATGGCCAGTTCTCTTTTGAGTGTGTCTCTTTCTTGTGATACCTATCACGTACAGCTAGCTGGTAACATACTTTCACTGTTCTTCCTAGAATTAATCTCTGTGACCAAGTCCTAAATTCAAGAGGAATAGTTTCTATCTTCTAAGTTACCACAGGCAACAGTTTTACCAAATGTTTGTCACTATATAATGTGCATTGCCACTTTCCCAGCCTCTACCTGCCACCCAGACCCAAAGCCAATGCTACATGGTTAAGTTTTCCATTATAGCAGAATTCCATGTCTCAACACCAATATCTATATCCGTGGGGATCAGCTGAGTTTTGTCTGAACAGCTCTGCTGATCCTGGCTAGGCTCACAAATCTGAAATCTGAGACTTGCTGGCCATGGGCTTGCTGTCCCCTGGCCTTGGCTGCAGCTCTGTAGCTTTGCGCCACGTATCTGTCGTCTTCCTCCTGGGATCAGCAGGCTAGATCAGGCTTGACCTTCTCATGGCGATGGATGACAGAGGTGCAAGCGAGCAGACCCCAATGCACAAGCCCGTTTCAAGCCATTACTTGTGTCAAGTCTACATAACATGCCGTCAGCTAACTCCAATGACATGAATGAGCCTATTGTCTGAGGTCATGGCAAGTCATCCTGCCCCGGTCAGGAGAGTGTGCATAATTACATACATGGCAGAGGCCATGCTACAGGGAAGGGTGGGCGGTGAGGAGATTTGGGGACATTTCTGGAATCTACTACAGCAAGTTAAGACATTGACATAACTGATGCCCAAATGATTTTCTTTAGAAATCGCCGCAGCCCAAGTTAGAAGGTTTCATTTATGAAAGTGATTCAGAATCATTTTGACTTAGAAGGATACAGTTACCATTTATAGTAGCATCTTTAACGGGTCTAGAAAACATGTATTTTCTAAAAATGTAAGTGTGTGCCATTTGTGCACTGTCTCCATGGAGTGTTCATTTCCCTTTTTAGATCTGTGGCACTTACAATTTTACAAATGTAAACTTAATAGGATTTTGTTTTTGCCCTTCCTTCACTTTGATCGATTGGCTACATTGTCAATCGTCTTAGTAGCAACCTAAGCTCAAGAACCATCTGTCTGTCAGCTTAGATATGTCAATTGCTTATTCACTCAACATTCATCAAGCCTCCACTAGTACTAGACACTGGGGATCAGCTAATGGGCAGGAACAAACACAGCCATTAGCTTATGGTCCAGTGGGACTGTTACTCACCAATATGACTCATTTAAGAGGACGAAGGGGTTTAAACTCTTTGCGTTCATGTCAGAAGTGGTGTTAAGCTCTGCAACTCAGCTATGAGATCTGGTTTTTCTAGGTTTCACCTCTGCTGACTTGTTTAAAAAATAAAAAGCAAACAGATTGTCACTACTTTGGGCAGGGGTGTGACGGAAAAACCTAGTAGAACATACTGGAGCAGAGACTCTTATTGAGTTCACAGACATCTTCATGCATGAATAGCATGTAGGAGGTCCATGAGCTTGGAAGGGAAAACATTTTACATCTTCATTTTCACTAACTGGTACTGAAATTTGATATGTCCTTAATTATGAAAATAGGCAGCCAATCTGATAACGGTGCATATGAATTATTGTCAGTAGAAATCCCAGATCTTCTCATAACGGATGTTGTCGGTAGATCAAAATCTTTTCCACTCTTCTTTATTTAGAAACGATTGTAGTGTCTAGACCCGCCGTTAGATCTTATTATTTAATGTATTGATAAAACCCACCCATTGCCATACCACAGATTTTTTTCTTTTGATTTTCGTAGTAACTATTTCAATATCATTGGTTTCATTTGTATTCCTATTGATTTTTATTTTCGTTTACTTTGTGTATCAAAGCATTCGTTTACTCTGTGTATTTAAGAAAGGGTCCATGGGTTTCAGTAAACTGGGAAAAAAGGGTTGATGGTGTAAGAAAAGGTTAAAAACATGTAAGGCGGGGTCGGCAAACTTTTTCCATAAAGTGCCAGATAGTGACTATTTTTAGGTTTTGTGGGCCATACGGTCCCTGTCACAGTTGCTCACCTCTGTCTTGAAAGCATCCATAAACAACACATAAACAAATGGGCGTGGCTGTATTCCAATAAAGCTTTATTGACAAAAGCAGGCTGTGGGCTGGAACTGGCCCATGGTCTATAGCTTACCATTCCTTGTTCTAGAGTTTAGTGTATATGCTCTTGGTATTTAGGCCTACAAAGCATTATGTAGGTTTGGCCTTCTCAATTTTCTCAAAGCTCGTTACGTTTGCTTCCTGCCATCTTTCATTGTATGTATTAAGCAGCTCCTGGTGATGCGTTAAGCCTTATACCAAAAAGCTGGAACACAATCCTACTCTTTTGAGCTGATGGCCTCAGAAAGCGAACATCGGTCCCAATGTACAGCTAATCACCCAGCATCTAAGAATACCAGCTTTGGAGTCAGCCTGGGTTGGAATCCAAGCCTTGCCACACACTCCTGGGTGACCATGAATAATTTTTCTAATCTCCGTAGGCCTCAGTCTCCTTTTTTGTACAATAGCATTAAGAATAGCTATTGATAATAGTTCCTACCTCATGGGCATGTTGGGAGCATCCAATGAGACTATTCTTGTGGAGTGCTCAGCAGAGCGTCTGCCATCCTGGAAGCAACGGAAGAACCTTAGCTGCTGTCATTTTGCTTACACAGTACCGACATAGGCGGGGTCACCAATGTGCTTGCATTCACAGTGTCTTAGATGCTTTGGACTTGACAGTCATTGATGAAATAAATTTGGATTATCACGTCCTTTTGGATGTTCGCAGTTGCACTTTCCCTGCTCATCTTTCAGCGAATATGAATTTTTTAAAAAATGAAGCAGCTGGATTTTGTAACTTCACAAGTAAAGAACGCAACTGGCAATGTGGGATAAAGTTTGCACAATCGACACATCTGTATTAATAAAAATCTGCATAAAGTATAAGCTGGGCATTTCGGTCATTGTAAAAAGAATATTCTGATGAGTGAGCATGGAGCTGATTCGAAAATGTGTCCTTCGATCTGTTACAACGTGTAACTCCATCAAAATCAACGGATTATGTAAAACTGGACAACTGTGAGCCA